AGGGAGCCAAAAAATGAATAAAATTATTAAGTAGTGAATTCATTAAGAATTTTAAGCAATAAAAGAATCTCAAAGCCAAAAGCAGAAGAAGAGGTTGGAGAGCTGGGTCAGCAGTTGAGAGCGCTGGCTGCTCTTGCAGAGGGCTCAGGTTCAACTCCTTACACCCACATGGTCGTTCATAACTGTAACTAGTGCAAGGGAACTTGAGTCCCTTCTGACCTCAACAGACACTAGGCACACGTGTAGTGTACATACATAAATGCAAGCACAGCATAATACACATAAAAATAATAAAAATGAATCAATCTTTAAAAGATGTTTAAGCTGAAGGGAAGTCGGACTCTGAGTGTGGCCTTGGTAGACCAGACGCCCACACCTTGTCAGTGGCCTCTGGGTGTCCCTTCTCTCTTCTCCTCTATCCCACTAGCTGCAGATCCAGCCCAGGAGATCCAAAGTCTCTAGTGCAGGCCCCTCCTCACTGGCCGTTCTTTCAGGAGTAGTACCCTTTCGCACCTGACATTTGGCGCTGTCATTGCAAACTACAGGACTTCACAAGCATTGTGACGCTCAACTGCATTCATTGTCCTCGGTGTCACCTGTGAGAAAGCTGGCGCATGTGTGATGTTTGCTGCTGCACGGCGGAGGAAGCCACAGAGCAGGGGTTCGATGGGTCGCCTGCAGGCACGCGGCTGAGGAACAAGAGAGTTAATTTGGGTCTGGTGCTTGGGCCATCACTCCAATGCTTCTCCTGATGTTCCATGCATGGCCATGCCTGTGGGGAGGGGGAGACGGTTGCAGACTCAAGATGATCACAAGGGATGGAGGAGTCACACAAAACCAGACCCTCAGCAGGTAGAGGACAGGACCGGGGGTACAACCTGCAGCTGAGGAGAGCCAGTTGGGCCTCTCACTTTTTGCAGAGATCTTCCTTTACTCCACACTAGGGACGGAATGCCCCACCCAGAAGCAGAAATACCCAGAGAACCATTGTGAAGAAGGCAGACACGGCAGCTGGTGGAAGACAGTGGCTCCTCGTACCCTCTCCTGAGGAACAAGAGCCATGCGCTCCCTGGCATGACTTCTGCCGGCCTCTCCTCAGCCTTTCACTGCTTTCCATATGCTCTAGTAGAGCCAGCTGCCCTGGGTCCACAGCCACCCCTGCTGTTCCATACCTCTGACCCTGGGGACCTTCACAGCCTCCTCCCCTGGATGGCTCCTCTTCACATCAGCACACACAGTGCTTTCCAGGAAATTCCTCCCACATGCTGTGCACACTCTGCAGAGTCTATGAAATGCCCTTCTCCACTGGTCTTTCTCTTCTGCTGGGTTGGACGCGCCTCAAAAACAGCCTGAGTTATCCACAGGGGTACTCTCACGCTGGCACGCCGTGGTAGCAATAAAATAACACGTATTGAACACTTGTTTTGGGCTGAATGCACTGAATTTTAGAACAGCTTTTTATTTTAAACCAAGTATAGATCCACTGGAGGTACAAAGAAATGGGCAGGGAAGTCCTAAGGAGCCTTCATCCAGCCTTCCCTAGAGTTAACATCCTGCCTAACTACACTGCAATGTTAAAACCAGGAAACCAAGCCGGGTGTGGAGACGCACGCCTTTAACCTCAGCACTTGGGAGACAGGCAGATCTCTGAGTTCAAGGCTAGTGTGTAGTGAGACCCTGTCTTGGAGGATGGGAGGAAGGAAGGAAGGAAGGAAGGAAGGGAGGGAGGGAGGGAGGGAGGGAGGGAGGGAGGGTGAGAGGGTAAGAGGGAGAGAGAGAAGGAGGGAGGGAAGAAAATCAGACAACTGACTTGGTATGACCCATAGCCCTTATGCACATTTCATGTTCATGTGTGTGTGTGTGTGTGTGTGTGTGTGTGTGTGTGTGTAGCTTTGTGTAAGTACAACCAAAATCAAGATACTAAATAGAAACTAGGCATGGTGAACATGTCTGTAATCCCAACAGTTAGAAGGTTGAGGCAGGAGGACTGAAGGTTCAAAGCTAGCCTAGGCTACATAAAGAATTCCAGGCTAGCCTGAGCTACATAATGAGACACTATCTCAAGTTACTAAATAGTATTAGGTAATTAACTAGAGTCAAAGGAGTCTGCTCTGCTGCCCCTTTACGACAATGCATACCCACCAATCTGTTCTGTCACTACGGTTATACTGTATCCAGATGTTCTGTTCTCTGGCACTACAGTTATAGAATGCCCAGATGTTCCATAAGATGAATCTGGCAGGCTGGAATCTTTCACTGTTAGGTTTGGTTTTTCTCCTGCACTTAGATCCATCAAGTCATGGTCCACATCAATCATCCGTTGCCGAGTAGTATTCCGAGATAGGGATGGGCACACTACAGTTTGCTGAACCATTCAGCCACTCACTAGGAGATAATTGTCTCACTCTTGTTTTACAAGTGAGGAAACTAACTCGTCTGGGGTCCCATGACTAACAAGCAGCATTTAATAAATGTTAAATGAGAGAAAACTAATGATGTTTATTGTGCTGAGCTCTGCTGTGTGAGGATGCTATGCTTTTACCCTAGCATCCAGAAAGTCATTCTGCACATAGTAGGTTCTCAGGAAATGCTTGCCAGTAAGCTGCAGCTGTGTTTTTGTGGGCGGGAACCATGTCCAGCTTGTCCTGAGTGCCACCATTTGCAGGACAAGACTTGATAGGCTCAGTATCGTGTCTGATATCTGCACTTTCTCTTTGCTTGGAAAGAGAGGAAAACGGAATTGGAGTGGTAAATATTGACTGCAGACAGGTCTGCCATTGTATCCCCTCAGATGCCCGAAGCTATTGGCTGTCTTGTAATTCCCATATTTGCATAATTGTCTGTATCTCATCTGCAGGCTGCTCGGTTAATCAAAATGCTGAGCAATTGCTGTGGCCCCTGCTTTTTGCCACCATGGCCTTCCCAGAAAGGGCTGGGTCAGGCTGTCAGATCCTGGGTCAGGCTGGGCAGGAGCAGCCTATAAAAACTGCCTGTTGGGTCCTGAACATGCCCTGCCTATGCTGCAAAGTCTGCCTGGGTGTTTCTGCTCATGAAAGGGGTGACAAGTCATGACCACTCCGCAGGACCTCAGGAGGTTTAGCTAAGGAAGATTTGTGGAGCTCTTAGTTCCCAACCTGAGGTGTGGAGCACTAAGTGAGATAAAGGAACCACAAGCTGGACCAGCCTTGTCCTGGGCACAATGCCCAGAGATGTCTTGTTGAGCTCCTCCTGCCACCCTCTCTGTAGAGGTAGGGTAATGAGAACTGCGGTGGTTTGAAAGAAAATGGCTCCCACAGGGAGTGGCATTATTGGGAGTTGTGGCTTTGTTGGAGTAGGTGTGGCCTTGTTGGAGTAAGTGTGTCACCATGGAGGTGGTCTTTGAGGTCTTGTATATGCTCAAGCTTCTCTCAGTGAGATACTCAGTCTACTTCCTTTTGCCTTCTGATCAAGATGTAGCTGGAACCATGTCTGCCTGCAGGCTGCCATGTTCCTCTCCATGACAATAATGGACTGAACCTCTGAACTGTGAGCCACCACAATTAAATGTTTTCTTTATAAAATCTGTCATGGTCATGGTGTCCCTTCACATCAGTATAAACCCTAACTAAGACAAGAACCAACCCCTGCCCATAGGGACACACTAACAATACACTGGGTCCCCACTATAGAGAACATGTGGAAATATGCACATGGCCTTGAAGAGAACCTGAGGTTTGGGCCAACCGAGGCCTCACCAAGGACCACAGGTACAACTGGGCTCTACCTCAAGGAAGAACTCCCCCTTGAAGTGCTTCTGCATAATCAGATCCACCTCGTCAGACACGCTCCAGCACCAAGGTTATATGTGGAGTCCATGTTGACCCTTTTCCTGGAGGGCGCTCCTGTCTGGTTGGGTTCATGCTGGGCATTAAAGAGCAGGTCCCAGACTTCTCAGCAATGATTCCCCATAGACACACAAACTCCCCCTCCCGGGGGGGGGGGGCGTTAGGAAAGCAAATACAGTCTGCTGAGAGTAAATGAGAGTTCATAGTAACTGTGCCCTCAGCCCCCGGAACTTATGAGCACGCTACCATCGGAAGCACAGAAGAGATTGTATACTGACTTCAGTAGGGATTCCCAAAGGGTGGTGTGTTCGAAGTGTATTCTCCAGAGTGGTTCTGTTGGGAGGTTTAGGTCACTGGGGACGTGTCCTCAAAAGGGATTGTAGGAGCCATGTCTTCCTCTTCTCCCATCCCTGGCAAGAAGTGAACCACATGTTCCACACCATGACAGGCTTCCTTTCCAACGGTCCAAAGCAATAGCACCAATCAATCATGACAGAAGCCTCCCAAAGTGAGTTCAATGAACCTTTGCCCTTTGTAAGTTGATGTATCCTGTGTATTTGTTACATTAGTGGAAAGCTGACTAAAACAGTTAGGATGGTAACTGGGGACATAGAATGGACTGTTAGGAAGTGGGGCCACCCCAAGAGCAGAGGGGTAACATATCTGATTTAGGATTGGTTCTAAGAACACAATTAGAAGGTTGGTGCTTGAGGGAACCAATGGGAAGAAAAACTTGGTGCAAAAAAAAAAAATGGTCACTGGTCTAACTTAGGTGGTACAGAGTTTACAAGAAGATGTAAAGAGAGCCTATAAAGAGAAGGATGCAGACGGGCAGAGGTGAGTCCAAGGATGCATGGAACTAAGGAGTCAGGAGTCAAGGTTTTCAGTCTGCTGACTGACCCCAGGACTTCCCAGAGGTGAAAGCTGGGGAGATGAGGATGGATATGGAAGAACCATAAAGTCCAAAACCAACTCACTGAGGCTTAAGCAGGAGGGACCTGTACCTGGGAGTGACAGACCAAGGGACTAAGGCAGAAGAAGGAAAGGAAGTGACTGGGTTTCCTGAGCGGGGAAGCGCTGAGGCTGATCCTAAGAGTCCTTTCCCTGTACACAGAGGGAAGGCAGGTGGGACGGGCAGGCTGGCAGAAGTGGCTCAGAGGACGGGACAGACCACACCTGCCCACGTCCATGGTGCAGACGGTACGCAGCAGTGCATTTTGTTCCCGCGGGCTGTGCTGACTGCCTGGGCAACAGCCAGAGTGGAGAAGGGACCAGGCTGAGGTACTGGATGAGCTAAAATCACACATCTGCGATAGAGCAGTTCTTCCAGTTTCCCGATTTTCTTCCACAGTGGCCTAGGAGGGGACACTTTCCAATGCTTTAACCAAGATGAGGCAGCAGTGACCTAACCCTCCTGCAGAGCCTGGCCCCTTCCGTTGTTCAGCCCATTGCCCCCGGCCTTGCTGTTCAGGGACTTTCTCTACCTAGAAAGCTTCCATTATTTCTCCTTGGCCTGACTTATGGATGGCTCCGATTCCGAGTCCCTCTGCCCTCCACGGCTCCCCTGAGCACTGTTTTTTTTTTTTCCTCTCCTCCTAGATCTGGCAACAGCAGCTTAATAGCCTCCCCAGGGGTCAGGCTGGGAAGATGAATGCTAGCCTGTGGGGGCTGTGTCCTGCCTTTCCATGGGAAGGTGATAGAAGGCAGGGTGCAAAGAATGGACAGCGCAAGCAGACATAGCAAAGGGCTCGTAGGATGAAGCCAGCAGAGTGTCCACCCGTGCTGAACTGTGCTGTGTTGGCTGGAGAGCCCCCAATTGCCTGTCTAATCAGCACTGAGTGGGAGAAGGCAGGGTGTGTTTCCCAGTGGAAAGCCAGGAGAAACCAGATCTGGCTCAGAATGTTCGCTGCGAAGGAGCAAGTGAATAATAGCCACACGCAGGCCCAAGCAGCCTGCAGGGCCGGTGGTAGCTGCCTTTCTTTGTAGGCACACAGAATGAGGGCGGCTATGGCAGGATACTCCAAAACCAGCTGCTTCTCAGTGGGCCTCCCGTGTTGTTCGAGGGTCCCCTGCTAGCCGGGTTAACCAGGAGTGAGAGTTATCACGGCTGTGGTCAGGTGACACCCTCTGCCCCTGCCTGTGCCCCTGCTGGCACGCCCCCACGTCCATGAGCCGAGATGTGTGCACTGCCACCTCTCCTCAGTCAGTGCTGGCCGGTGCCTCCGCTGTACCTTTGGCATCTGTGGTTCAAATGACGGACACAGGAGAGTGCCTGGGGCAGAAAACCTAAGGCTGCGGGGACGTTGCAAAGGCTGTGGAAAGAAAGCAGTGGGAAAATGTGGATCCGTGCTTCCCTTCTGGCCTGGGGTCCTGGGTAATCCTATGTAGCCATGAGCCTCACCAAAGTACTTTGGGCCTCTATTTCCCCATCAAGGCCTTTCTCTCAGCCCAGTTCCCTGAGTCGTTCTGAGAACAGAAAGAGGCCCAGAAAAGTCAGTTTCTGATCCTCATAAAATAAGCTGTATCTTTAGAAGGGCCAGCCCCGATGATAAAAGACTGCAATAGACTTGGAAGTGCTCAGCTTCTACCTAAGTTCCAGGTCCCAGCCACTGACCAACGAACCACTCAGCCTGGGTTCGTCATCCTTTTGACCGCAGATCAGCTTTCCTCCACAGAGTAGAACTCAGCAGCTGCCTCACACAGAGTACTTGGGAAAATACACTAGAGAGTCGTTTCTAGATCCCTAAATGTACTAACTATCACAAGCTGAGGAGGGCGGCAAGGATGGTGGACTGATTCTGGTCCACCACTGTGTGTGTCCACGGCTTTGGACAGGTTGGTGAATCTGTCTTGGTGTCGTCATGTGTAAACCAAGTCAAAGCATTACTCAGTGGTGATGGTCTTGAAAAGGGCCGACACGGATGTAAACTGGTCCCATGTCCTGTGGGTGGCTCCATTCCCTCTTGTCAAAGCCCTCTTAGATCATCAAGTCAAGGGCAGCTCAGAAGACATCATTTGCATGTTTGCAGACACCCGGCCTACCCTGGCATCTGCCTTTGGAAATGCCACATTGTCTGCATCCTCCCCAGGGCAACGTCTCCAGTCACACCTCTTCGGGATCTGGTTTCTTTTTTACCACAGCAGATGCCTGTGAAGAATGCCAGACTGATGTGAGCCACTCTGCAGACCCTGAGATCTTAGGCCATCCCTCTGCTGGGGACCATACTCCCTGGGCAGCTGACCACTTGATGAGGTTGTCCAGCTAGGGGCAGGGACCAGTCCCAGGAGTGCTGGAGAATGCTCCTAGTTTAGGGGAATTTTTCTCCCCTTGACTTCACTTCCTGTCCTGATCCAAGCTGACTCAACTGTGCCACCTGCAGTTCTGACAGCCCTTCCTTTACGCCACAGCCTGGCCAACCTCTGACCTTCCCAGTCAAGGGCATCTGAGAGCCCGTCACCACCTAGCCACCTGTGTGGCTCCTGGAAAAATAGTACTTGAACCATTAGGACCCTTTGTCTAGACAGTTGTCGAAGCTTCTCTGCGATCTCATCTGCCCTGTGGACTACCTGCTCCAAATATCCTTAAGGGTAGGGAGCATTAAAAATGCAGAGTCCCCGTACAATGAATACATAATGAAAAAATTAATAATACGTTTGCAGTTCAGACTGGGGGTTCAGAAACCTGTACTTCAAATAAGCTCCCATGAGATTAATAAGCACAATAAGGTTTGAAAAAACACTTGGGGAAACCCCCCCCATGTTACATTGAGGTAGAATTAAGAACAAGCGTATTCTCTGTGTGCAACTTGATTAACTCACATGTGAGATGTACGGGGTCTCCAAGTCATCACTCCCAGATAGAGGCCTAGAACACACAGCACCCCCCTCGTTCCTATGCATTCTGTAACAGGAGGAGGGGACTGCCGTTTGGAGCCTGGCAGCACAGATTCATCTTCCCTGTTTCTAACTCCACCTGAATGGAGTACGTATGACTTCTTTCACTCAGCATTATGTCAGCGCTGCCTATGTTCAACGGGGCAAACCACCTCTCTGTATCAAAGCACCCACCGTGTGCTTTGGCCTCTCCTGAGACACCTAGAGAAGTCAGGTCTAACCCTAAATCCTTGCCACCTCCGTTCCCCGCTCCTCCTGGCTCAGCCTTGTGGAGACCACATTCAAGTATGGCGTCCACATGTAGGGGTGTCATTCTTCAAGCCTGAGTACAGGGGAGCCTCAGCGGCTGGGGAGACCCTGGGCCGGCTCCCGCCGGTTCCTCTCTAGACAGCGACTAAAGTTGTTCATTTGCTGGCTGTGGGTTGCTAGAGAGTCCAGGCACACTCCAGGTGAAATTGGCCAATTCCATCTACAAATGAAGAGACAAATGAGATGGAAATTGCACAGAACAAGCGTCCTCCTCGCGTGTAGGTATCGGAGCTGACACACTGCGCCGTGGAACTGATTCCAGTCCTTCTCTGCAGCTGGGTGAGAAGGGCTTTCCTAACAGTGGGAAGCACCATCTCCTCCCCAACCCAGCCAGGCAGAGGAGCAGCCTAAGAGGCTCCTGGGGGAAGATAGAGGGTGTGTGTGTGTGCGTGTGTGTAGGTATGTGTGCGTAGGAGTGTGTGCGTGTGCACAGGTGTGTAAGAAAGAGAGGAGAAAACAAGCAGAAGACACTGGCCAGGTACTAGGAAAAAAAAAAAAAAAAGTGGCGTTCAATCCCCCCTCCTCCAAAAACCTCAAAATTTCAAGTATCTACTCCGTGCCAAGCCCCGTGCTGGGTGTTCTGACTGTAAAAACGAACAAGATCTGCCTCTAAGAGTCCTTCACCCAGGGGTGGAAAAGCAAGTGACAGCGATGGCAGTAGAGAGGGCGGGGAGACGGGGGACACATTTATAGATGAGGGAGAGAAGATCTGGGAGGAGCAGGGCAGGAAACTAAAGAGGAGAAGCGGAGGCCCAGAGAGGGTGGCCAGGAGGATGCCCTGGGAAGAGGCCACAGACGCCCTTGCAGGCAGCAGCATTAGTCCCTGGTAAAGGGTCAGCCCAGGACAAACCACGTGTGGTGTCTTCTCCCTGTTATGTAAGGAAGTTTAAAGAGCCAGGGTTTCTCAGATTCTGGGTCTCTGTGGCATCCATTTTCTTTGTTAAGAGAGTTGCAGAGAGGCAAGGAATGCAAATTTGTTTTCATATGGACCCCAGCTAAATACAATTTTAGTAATAATAATAATAGCAAACACTTATAAAGCACTTACCATGAGCCAGGCTGTTCTGAGCACTTCACACATATTAACTCATTTGCATAGTAAGTATGCTAGGAGGAAAAAAAAAGCAACCCATGATGCATTTCAAAGCCAAACAGAAATGACTTTTGAACTATACAACACCCATACACAGCCTAGGAACTCTGTACCAACCACCCCCGACCAGGTGAGCATGAAATAGAAGGCCTAAGAAGCAGGTTTCAGAGGAGTTCCAGGGAGTCTTGAGTAATTCTAGACCTTAGCAGGCCAACAGGCTCATTGTCTCCCTCCTTTACCACTGAGCTGACACTCCAGGGCAAGCCCCAGGCAAGGCTCTCGGGCTCGGAGACCCTGGAGACATCATGAAGGATGTGACCAGCATTAAGGGGAGAGTGGCTTTCTCTCTGGGGACTGTTCTGCTCCAGTCCATGTGCATCACATCGTTGCAGATGTTGCAAACATGATTGCCACTGGGGAACTAGTTTCCATAGCGACAGAGGTACAGTGGACCCTTGACATTCTTAAGGGATACAGCCCAGCCCTTCATGAGTCTATGAATTAGGAAGGACGCATCGTCCCCCCATAAAATGCAGTAAAGTATGGCTTGGGAATGTAATGAATGGCTAGCAAGGGTATAGTCACCTGACTCCCAGCTGCCCAGTGCCCTCCGAGGACCAGTCTCAGCCCGTACAGGTCAGCAACATAGACTGCATTGTGTCAAATCACATCATTTCATCCTAAACCTGAAATTCTAGAGTCTGCTGCAGCAGTAGCTGGGGGGGGGGGGGGGCATTCTGGTTAGCATAACAGACTAAATACATCCGAGAGTCTCTCTGCTGCCTCCCAAGCCACACTGAAATGAAGGTAACCGACGGGCAGAGAGAAGCAAGCAAAGCTAATAAGCAGCATCCATCCCATTATGGAAATTAAAGAGAGTACATTGACTTGGCAGAGAACAAAAGGGCTCTTAGAGGGCTGCAGGGAGGGCAGAGAGGAGGGCCGGGCAGACTCCCGCCACAGAGGCTCAGACACCATGGTCCTGAAGGTGTGGTATGGAATAGGGACACCCTAGGGCACCTCCTAACTTCATCTCATCCTGTGGCTGTCCCCACCTGACCCCCAAGTACCCGGAGAGAACTTTGTTTCCCAGATAGGCTGATCAAGAAGTGAGCCCTTGGGGCACGAGTATATGTGGGAGTGGAGATGGAGGGTTGACCAAAGCCTGCAGGTGACGCCAAGGGGCCCTTTACCCCCTTTCTCCAGCAGCTGTAGGAATGCTGGGGGCGCTGGGAGCATGGGTGCTGAGCCCTCGCACAGTGACACCTGCCTAGTCACCACTCTGCTTGGGCATGTGGAACTGTTAATCAGTCTTTCCAGTCCTCCCTCATGAACGCAAACCATTAATCAAGAACTATGCAATTTTAAAAGAAAACATCTAATATTGGGGGATAGGTAAAATAAATAGAAAATAATGTGAAAAAAAATCAAACATGGTGATGAAGGAAAAGGGGAGGCCCATTAGGACACCAGACCAATGTAGTTGATATTCTCCAAGAGACAAGGAGATAGTATGTCCATAAAATAAGAACACAGGATGCTTTTTAAAATTGGGGATTAGTTCACACATCCTAAAAGTCATACTGTCACAGCACACAAATTGGTGGGGTTTTGGAGATTCACAAAGCTATGAAGTCATCAACCCTAATTCTAAAATATTTTCATAATTTCCCCCCCCAAGGAACCCTGTGCATATTAATAGCCACTCTCCCCCCCCCCCAGCCCTGGAGACTGCTAACTCCTTCCTGTATCTATAAAACAGCCTACTCTGACGTTTCACATCGGTAGAATCATTTAGGATGTATTTTTTCCATGTTTGGCTTTTTGCACTGACATGTGTTCAAGGTTCCATGTTGTTGCACACATTGTTGCTGCATTCCTGGATGCGATTAGACAACAATGCTGCAATTCATGAATATATTTTATTCTATTTGTTACCTATTGCATTTTAACCATGCTGGTAGGCTTTTGAATAATTTAGTCTCCTTAAGGGGAGTTGTAGAAAAAATGAATGAGCTCTTGGAAATTTAAAGTATGTTCTGTCTGGATATAGTGGCTCATACCTGAAATTCCAATTCATGAAGCAAAATAGGAGGATCAAGAGTTCCAGGCAAAACAGGAGGATCAGCCTGGGCTACATATCAAGACACTTTCCCAACACACTAAGGTCTGGGATGTAGTTCAGTGGTAGAATTTTTCCCTAGCATGCATGAGACTCTAGGGTTGGTCGCTGGCACTGTAAATACATATCTATACAATCTGTGGGTGTTCTTTTTCCTTAAATAATGATGTTACTTTTTAGATTGCAAGGGTCTTCTTGGTGATGGGCACAATTAATGAAAGAGAGAGAAAGCCCCACTAAAGCTAAATGTAACAACATAGATCTGTTGTTAGGACAGGATTTGGGAAGCTAAGATAGGAAGCTTGCTTGAATCCAGGAGTTTAGGAACTATTGTAAGGAACATGTCAAGACCCTGTCTCACGTTTTACAATACTGAGGATAAAACAAGATTCTGTGAGCATCCAGAAACCCAAAGATAGGTTTTGGGATGCAGCAGACTTCTCTATGGCTACCATAGCAGCAAGCAGATGATAGAACGGTACTTTCAGAAATGCCAGGAACGGCTGTTTCAATGTCAAATCCTACCAAAATGTCAGTCACCCATGCAGATTGAATAAATATGTGTAAGCATGCGGATTTTCAAGAAATTTACTTCTTTTTTCCAAAGCAACAGGAAGGATCTGGGAAGATGGCTCAGCAGTTAAGAGCACTTACGGCTTTTGTGCGATGCCAAGTTCTTGCAGGGCTCCAGGGATTGACCTGGCTGGGGCAGTGAAGGAGTGAAGAAAAGACAAACACACGGAAAAGCTGGGTCTCAGCACCCTGGAAACTTAGCCTGTTTAGTATGTAGAGCGGCAGGGTTACAGCATACAGCTGAATGGAGGAGGCAGGTTTATGAATCTCAGGAGGAATGGTCTCTGTAGGGGAATAGTGTTCGGGCTATAGTCATGGTGCAGGGACAGGGAAAGCTACAACTGGACATTTTTTGCACATACTGTCAACATGTGTACTAGGATCCCCTAGGAAGGCTTTGCCATCCTTTGAGCTCCACCTGGCGAAGGCATTGCCACTGCCATGAGGCAGAGGCACTAGGGTCCTTGGTATAGGCTTCCCATGTCAATAACACACGTTTGCTCAGGGCTTCATCCACGCAGGCCTTCCTCTGCTGCCCACAGCACAGGATCTGGGTTTGGTTCCCAGCGCCTCCATGGCAGCTCACAACCACCTCTATCTCCATTTCTCGAGTTCTGACTCCCTCTTCAGGCCTCTTAGGGCATTGTGTGCATGTGGTACACAAACATGCCTGAAGGCAAAACACTCTACACATGAAATAAAATAATAATAATTTTCAAAAGCAACTGGAAACCGGGCAGTGGTGGTGCATGCATTTAATCCCAGTATTCTGGAGGAAGAGGCAGGTAGATCTCTGAGTTCGAGGCCAGCCTGGTCTACGGAGCAAGTTCGAAGGAAGCCAGGAATGCACAGAGAAACCCGTCTCAAAGAAAAAGAAAAAGGCAACTGGAAGATAAACTATATCGAAAACAAGATCTGAAAAAAAGATGACATCAGACCAGGAATAGAGATAAAAACTGTTTGCCACCGTAGGACAAAGCTGAAGGCTGAAGAGACAATGCTAGAATGTGACAGCAGTCAGCCCTGGGAAGCAGAAGGGAGCTTCGCTTAAATTACCTCCACGCTCTTCTGTGTTTTCTCATTTTTCAATAATAATGTTGTAGCGTACCTACCAATGGCTGTGATTTGTCACGTGCAGATCCTGAGAGCCAGCAGGCAGGAGACAGTGCTAAGGAAACAGAAATAACAGAAGCTAAGAGATGGGTGGCTCTGAGGCCACGGTACAGACCCCAGAGCCAGCACCCTAGATTACAGATGCCCATGCAACACGCCATTGCCATCAGCCACATCTACTTGCACGCCCTGCTGGCTGGAAAGCTACCTCAGGGCAGACACGGGGTCTTGCTTAGCTTATATACCACCTGCCCCTGTCCCTGGCAGAGAGAAGGTAGCATCGACTCGGAATGAGAAAGAGGGGAAAAAGAGAATGCCCAGGTATGGCGTGAGGGTTTCAGGACACAGATTCCAATCCCAGCCTCAGCTGCATGGCCCTGTCTCTTACACTCTTGGTTACAAAGGAGGGTAAAAGTGCCCTTGGGCTAGGTGCAGGAATCCACACTACACATTTAGGACAGTCTCCGGTGGGTCCCAGCATAGAGGCCAGTTTATCATTACTTCACAGCAGAGGAGCAGAACCCAGAGAAGCCTGGGGATCCCTGACATTTAGAATTCAGTGGAGAAGCCTTGTGCTTTCGTCCTCCCTGTGAGCGGCAGACACTGAGTTCTGAGCATGTGCTTCTGGGTAGGCCCAGACCTGGCCCACCGTTTCTTCCACTGGAAAACAAGAAAGCAAAAGGAGGCAGATGCTGAGGTCTCTGCTGCATTAATTCTGACCTGAGGACCAGCTCGCCTTGCTTAGGGGTGGGAGCTGCCCAAGGAATAAGCCTAAGGTGTGAGTAGAAGTGAGGAAGACTCCGCCCCCAAGCTCTCTCAAGACTTTGCCTGTGTGAGTCCAGAAAAAGAGACAGTGGCTTCCAAGGCAGACGCCGCCGCCTTGAGACAGCAGGGTGGACCCAGCTTCACATCTGAATCACCTGCTTGGGGGCTGGTCCCCTGCATAGGTCTGTGGACCCCACCCTCAGAGCAGCAGGGTAGACTGAAGGAACGTGGAGTTTGCGTGCTAGCCGGGCTCTGTGGTTCTTGGATATACTCTCTGCCTTCCGTTTGTTGTTTTCTCTTTTTGAGACAAGGTCTCACGTAGCCCAGGCTAACCTTAAACTTGCTTTGTAGCCAAGGATGGCCCTGAATTGCTAATCCTCCTGCCTCAGGTTCATGAGTGCATATGCCAGCAAGCTCAGCTTTGTTCAGCAAGGGACTGCAGTCTAGGGGTTGGAGGGTGTGGCTCTCCTACGCATCAATGGTGGGAAACAGCCACCACTTATCCAGTCCCTGCTCCACACGGATCACTTTTTGACATCCTTAATCTTCACAACCACCCTGAAAAGTAGGTATTACTACACTAATTGTACAGAAGAGGAAACTGAGACCTGGGGCAATTAGCTTGCCAGACTTCAAACAGAATGAGACAAAGCCAAATCTGTCACCAACCCTTCGCTCGTCTCCAGTGCCCACACACCCACTCCTAGGTAGAGGGAGCGGG